AACGTCAGGAGAAATGCCTCTAGAACATGGCCATATAGCCCGAAAAAACCCACAAGAACTGAGTGTTCTTCATTTTAATTAATGTATTGTTTTAAAGTGGGGTTTTTTTGCACAACAAATAAGATATGTGCAGTGTGCATAGGAATTCATGTTTTTTCTAAATTATAATCCAGCCTGTCACCTGGCCCTATGTTTAAAAAGTTTGAGGACCCCTGACTTAGGTGATCCCTCGTTGTCCAAGTATGATAATCCTCCAGGGTGTGTCCGTAGGTGACTGTGGAGCCTGTGGTGACTGTGGAGGTCTGTTGGAACTAGGAAAACGGGTTTATATATCTGTGGACTGACCAGGGTGGGACAAAGAACTCTTGTCTGCTGGAGTTAGGTGTGAATGTTTCAACTGACCATCTTGATTAGCATTTGATGGCCTGGCAGTGCCCGGGGCAATCTTTTGTTGAGAGGTGATTTGATGTCCCAGATTGTTTCCTCTCCTTTTCATGGAGGAAACCATGAAAATGAACAAAATTTGGCTATCAGTATTAAAAAAAACCCTCTAAAATTACAATAGCAAAAACAACAGAGAGGAAACGATCTGGGACATCTAATCACATCTCAACAAAAGATTGTCCCAGTCACTGCCAGGCCATCAAATGCTAATCAAGGTGGTCAGTTGAAACAGTCACACCTAACTCCAGCAGACAAGAGTTCTTTGTTCCACCCTGGTCAGTCCACAGATATATAAACCCATTTTCCTAGTTCCAACAGACCTCACAACCTCTGAGGATGCTTGCCATAGATGCAGGTGAAACGTCAGGAGATAATGCCTCTAGAACATGGCCATATAGCCCGAAAAAACCTACAACAACCCAATTAATTCTTTGTCTAACAATTGCTTCGCCAATACAGAAGCCTGAATAGTGTGGTGTTTGTTTTGTTCTTTGGGAAATGGCTTTGAAAATCATGGGGCAAAAGATTTGCACGAATTCACAGGCCTCTGAAGATGTTCTTATATGGTTCAGAGAGGCAGAAGTCCTTCAGGTAGATGAGTCTCCGGCTCTTTGGGGCTTTCAAGCGCTCTGAATGGTGTCGGGAAGGCAGCCCCAGGAAATATTCACAGTTCGAACATTCCTGGGAGAGCTGCCTTCAGATCTCTGAAGGAGATGCAGAACAACAGCATGAGAACAGAGGAGGGAGCGCTTTCAGCCGCTGCCTTTTTGTTTTTTCACGCAGGGAAACGGGAAAGGGCTAGACGGTTCAGACAGGCATCACAGCTGGCTTTCCGCACAACATGTTGGGGAGAGAAAAAGAGAGGCAGCCTGCGGACTAAAACAGGAAAGGACGCTTTGATGTTCAAGAAAGCTCAAAGCACACCCGCTCTCAAAAGATTAAGTCAGAGAACCATCGCAGAGTGACAAAAAGGCCCCGGAGAAAGAGACTGTGGACTGAAAGCAAAGAAAAAGTGTGCTGTCAAAGGCTTTCACGGCTGGAATCTCTGGCTTGCTGTAAGTTTTCGGGCTGTATGGTCATGTTACAGAAGCATTCCCTCCTGACATTTTGCCTGCATCTATGGCAGGCATCCTCAGAGGTTGGGAGGTCTGTTGGAAACTAGGAAAATGG